TCCCGCCCCCCGACTGCAGTCCCTCCCGCGGCCACACGGGGGCGCGCCCGACTGCCGACAGCTCGGCCCCGGGCCGGCTGATGGGGCGCCGGGTGGGAGGACGGCTGCGGTGCTCCTGCTCTGAGTCAGAGCGGCCTGGCTCCTCCGTAACAAGGGAAAGGGGAAGTGCCTGTCTGCCACAGGGAGGGGCCTGGCCCCGGGAACCTCAGAAGAGGGAATTTTATTCTTACTCATCGAATTATTTTTATGCTTTGGTTTTTCACTGGGGACCTCAGACTGCTGTCTCCTGGATTTGTAACCCTTTGGGGTCCAATGCTTGATGGTTGGAGTCTGTCATCCTAACACTTGGGGAGAAGGGGCCAAGGGTTCATTGCTCACCTCACCTGGGAAGACTAGGCTTGACCTGATCTTTCAGACTGGGACAGCAAGCAGCATTTGTTATTATAAGGGCCATTTACTGAGCACCTACTATGTGCTATTCCCTCAACCTACACAATCTCTTTCCATCCTAGTTCTAACCCTCTAAGGACAGTCACACAATTGATGCCAAGACGAAGAGTCACACTGCTGGGCGTCCTGACCAAGTTGTGTGGCTCACTTCTTGGGCCTGGACAGCATGGAAATCATGTGGGAATCAGCCAGGAATGGAGAACGCATAGGAAGGGGCACATGGGTACTCACTTGGGCAGAGACTGCACCAGGGTGAGGATCTTCAAGCCTCTGACCCTCACCCACCTTCTCTGGCAGCACCTTCTGTGCTGTGTTGCTTGCCCACTACTGGGGGCTCCACTGGTACTCAGCTGTCCATGCTGCAACCTATCCCACCTCACACCCTACCCTGACTCCCTCCAGGTGGGACCAGTGTGTCCTCACAGCCTCCAGTCAGCCTCACCCCACCAAGTCCATCTGGTGGCCAGGATAGGCCCCTGGGCTCACTCTCTCATGAGTTCTGAAATGCAGCCCCTGGAGGTTGGGATCTTTACAAATGGAGGAAGATACCCAATGGTGCTGGCTGCTCTGGGACAGCCCATGTACTCCCACCCTAGTATGAAAATCACTCCATTATATGCAAAGCACTTCATAATATGCAAATGATTTCACAATAACACAGTCAGCATTTCTGCCTCAGGGCAGAGGGCTCCTGGTCACGCAGCTGGACGGTGGGCAAGACCCAGCCAGAAACTCAACTTGCTGCCTCCCCATGCCCTTTCCTCCCACTTAGCTTGTCATTTCCGGTCTCAGATTCTCAAGGTTGAAAGGAATAAGGGCAGTGGAAGTGAAGACTAGCTAAGTGAAAGGACACAGGTGGGGCAAGTGAGAGGACCAAGGTTTAGAAGAGTGAGTTAGATCTGCCAGGCATAGAAGAATAAACGAGAAAAGCAAGACATAGAGATGCTTATTAAGTATGATTTGAAACTTGTTTAAATCTAACGAAGAGAAATACATGTATATGAGATTTGTTGTTATGTGCCTTCAAGTTGCTTGCGACTCATAGAGACCCTGTGTACAAAAGCCCTGAAACCTGCTCTATCCTGTGCCAACCTTATTACCTCCGACACACCTACCCTCATTACCTCAGTCACTGTATCAATCCATCTCATCAATGGTCTCCCTTTTTTTCTCCATCCCTCCACCCTTCTAAACATGAAGTCCCTCTCCAAAGACTGGTCCCTCCTGAGAACATGCTCAAAGTATTTCAAAGCATCAGAATCCTTGTCTCCAAGGGGCAAATCAGCTTCACCCACTCTAGGAAGAACCTGTTTGTTCTCCTGGAAGTCCATGGTATTTTCAATACTCTTCTCCAGCAACATAGCTCAAGGGAATTAATTCTTCTATCATTCCTAGTCATTGTCCAGCTCTCTGATGCATAGCAAGTAATTGCAAAGACTGGCCTGAACCTGGTGCACCTTCGTCCCTAGACTGATATCATTGCTCTTCAGAACTCTTGAGAGGTCTCGGACAGCCAACTTTCCCAATACAATTCGTCTCTTGATTTCCTGGCTGCTGGTACCAAGAAAGTTGGTTGTGGAGCCAAGCAAACTAAAGCTTTTAACAATCTCAATCTCTTCACCATCCATCATGATGCTGCCAATTAACCCAGTGGTGAGAATCTTTGTTGTTTTGATATTCAGCTTCAATCCATATTGAAGGCTGCAGTCCTTGACCTTCTGCAGCAAGTGCTTCAGGTCCTCCTCAGTTTCAGCAAGCACGGTTGTGTCATTTGCATAATGCAGATTGTTGATGAGTCTTCCTGCAATCCTGATGCCACATTCCTCCTCATAGAGCCCAGCCTCCTGGATGATCTGTTCTACATATAGATTTAAAAAGTATGGAGACAGAATACATCCCTGGCATAAACTCTTCCTGATTTTGAACCAAGCAGTGTCTCCTAACGACTGATTGTTGTTGTTGTTGTTATGTGCCGTTGAGTCACTTGCAACTCGTAGCGACCCTATGTACAACAGCCCTAAACTCCGCTCTGTCCTGTGCCAATCGCATTGCCTCTCTCACACCCATCCCGATTACCCCAGTCACTGAATCAATCTACCTCATACAGGATCTTCCCCTCCTGCGCCTGCCCTCCACCCTCCCAAGCATGATGTCCCTCTCCAACGACCTCTCCCTCCTTACAACATGTCCAAAGTATGTCAGACGAAGCCCCAGAATCCTTGCCTCCAAGAAGCAGCCCAATTTAACCCTTTCCAGGATGAATCTGTTT